CATCATTAACTATCAGGGAAATGCAAATCAAAACTACAATGAGATATCACCTCACCCCTGTCAGAATGGCTATAATTAACAAGACAGAAAACAAGTGTTGGAGAAGTTGTGGAGAGAAGGGAACTCTCATACACTGCTGTTGGGAGTGCAAACTTGTGCAGCCACTATGGAAAACAGTATGGAGATTCCTCAAAAAATTAAAGATAGAATTACTCTAGGATCCAGCTATTCCACTGCTGGGTATTTATCCAAAAAACGTGAAAACACCAGTGCATAAAGATACATGCACCCCTGTGTTCCTTGCAGCGTTATTCACAATAGCCAAGACTTGGAAGCAACCTAAGTGCCCATTAAGGGATGAATGGATAAAGATGTGGTATACATACACAATGGGATACTACTCAGCCATGAGAAACGAGGAAATCTAGCCATTTGTGACAACATGGATGAACATTGAGGGTATTATGCTAAGCGAAATAAGTCAGAGGGAGAAGGTCAAATACAGTATGTTCTCAATCATAAGTAGAAGATAAAAACAACAACAAACAATCACATAGAGACAGAGATTAGATTGGTGGTTACCAGAGGGAAGCGGGGAGGGAGGAGGGCAAAAGGGATGATTAGGTACATGTGTGTGCTGATGGTTTGTAATTAGTATTTGGGTGGAGAACATGATGTAAAATGCAGAAAGAGAAGTATAATGATGTACACCTGATATTTACACAATGTTATAAAGTGTGACCACAATAAAAAAATAAATGAAAAAGAAAGGATGATATATTATGTATTTGTGTGTGTGCCTGTGTACTTGGTGGATCTGTGTGCGTGCACGTATCTGTGTGTGTGTGCATGTGTGTGTGTGCGCATGTGTGTGTGTGTGCATATGTGTGTGTTCTTCTGTTGTCCTTCTAACCAACAGATGCTGTATTACACATAGTTTTGGCAATTTCTATTCTGCCGTTTTATTTATCCAGTCAGCCTTAGTTCTCCATATCTCAAATAAGTGGTCATAGCAGCACATCTCTGACTCTGAGGATGTGGGAAAGACTTGAACAAAAAGAACATAATCACTCATTTACAGAAATATAAAGTACTCTCACTGAAAATGGAAGCAGACGACATTTAGCCTTGATTTAAGCAGAAACGAGGTAGTGCAAGTATTTGTTCACATAGCAAATGTCATTGCTTCAGGCTACAGAGGTAGTCCAGAAATGTGGAGGGGAATTCTGATTTTTGTGAAGACAGGCATTTTAACTGCATAAAGGTCCCTCATATATAAGGATTTCTTGTTTCTGAGCTCATTTATTGCGATTGCTAAAAGGGAGGTGGTGACGTTAACGGAAGCAGTGGCAGCAGCCCCCAGAGCCAGCCACAGGGATTAGCGCCAGCCCCTACCTTGCACATATCCAGCAGCCAGCTCTCATCTCCCTTGTCTATGAAGCCCTGGATGATGAATCGAGTCTTCTTGTCTTTTTGAAAATTTGATGCCTCAACCGTTGATGGATCAGAGGGAAGGAGACTCTGTGACAAGTGCAGAGGGGTTGCATGTTTTTGCAGCCCAGCCACTCAGGCCTGTCTCTCCCTTCCCCACCTCTACCTGCCTCAATGCCATGACCTCTCAAAGCTTAACATAAAAGCCATCTCTTTCAGGAAGCCCACCCTGACCTCCCTTTCCCTGCCACATCTCCCAGGTCAGGAATCACTACCTCCACTGGGGCTGGATTGTGGCTCACAGTCTTACCTTCCATAGGGTTCTTGTTAGATGGTAAGCTCTTTGCGGCAGACCA